ATACGACAAAGCGCGCAAATGCTTAAAATGTCAACTCATCAGGGGTTTGAGGAATGGCTGCGCAAAGTATTGAATAAGAAGTTGTAGAAAGATGGCGAAAACTGCGGCTATCAGTAATTTTCCTAATCCTGTTCGTTTAATTAGGAGTACGGGCCGAAGGAATGCCGCAGTATGGTTGGGAGTAGATGTCTTTGGTTGCAGCTGGTCACTCCTACCTTGCACCTCAAGAAATGCTCACATACAACCAAACGTCTCAAACAGCTTCTTTTGAAGATGCCCTACTCACTGTCTTGTCGTGGTAGAGGTTTTCCCACGAAATCGTAATCGAATCGGTGAGCCACTGGCGGTTCACCCGGGGTGGTTGGCTAAAATCACTGACTTCAGAACAACCAAAAAGAGGCGTACGAGAGACACCTTAGTCTTGGTAGCGGTCACCGGCTCGATTGGGTATCGAGGTTCATTGGACACCTTGTACGTTTGACCCCGTCCTAGGGGCATATGATCCAATGAACTGGACACCGGCCCCTGACGGTTTGTGGTTTTCACACACCGTCCGGCTGCATTGTGGGTCATTCTTTGGATAGCCGACGGCTCCGGTTGTGAACGCCCTAGGAAAATTCACCTGCTTCGACCAGTGCATACTAGCGGTAACATGCTCTCAAGCAAATCATGACCCTTTTTCTTCTTATAAAAGTTATCGTACCGTGATTTGTTTAGCACAGTCTGAACTCAGGCATGCGTGAAAATATTTACAATATGTAGGCGTGAGTAAGTTAATTAGGGAGTCCGATGGCACACTGATTGGTATTCAGCAATGCCGTCTTAAACGATGGGCAGAACATTTTAAGACACCGTTCGTCTGGCTCCCATCGACACGACCTCCCTATAATTGCTTCAACTGGAAAGATACTGCCACTTGACACCAGTCCTCCGTCTGGAATGTAGGTTACCTGCGAAGTAAATTATCTCAAAAGGTATAAGGCCTCCGGCCCCGACTGGCCCTCCTCATCGATTTTTAAGGATGGAGGTTCAGAGTTGAAGAGGCTCTTTGGCTCAGAGTGGGAGAGGAAAAAGGTTCCAACTGAATGGCGTGGATTGGCTATCATACCAATTTGCAAGAAAGGTGACGATTCCTCTTGTGAAAACGATAAAAGACTTAGTTTACTCAACGTCGTCTCCAAACACCTCACTGTCGATTGTTTGCCGCACGTAAACAGTGCACGCGTGAGAACCATGCTGATTTTAGACGGTCGAGGTTGTATAGTTTCAGTTTGTACAACCGTTAATCATGCACGTTCGTGTGCCGGTTTTGGTTGCTGTCTTTTAGCTGCTCATTTGGATGCATAGTGGGAGAAATAAAGAAATGTTGAAAGTAGAATCGAAAATTGAGAATTTCAGTAAACTAATTTTGCAAAGAAATTGAAAGGAT